TTATGAGGGTCAAGGAAAACACTGGATGGTCAATCAGACATTGAAAGGGTGGAATCAAACGGGAGGCTTGCTGACAAGTGTAAGGCCGCAGTAACTGTGCAATGACTGAGGATGTTGAGGAGGTTATACAGGGCAATACAAACCGGATGAATTTTGTCGTAGAGTAGGCTGAACATAATTATTACGTATTCTATCGCAGTCATTCGAATGAACAATATAGAACAAGGCTTGGACGGGTACAAAAACGTATGATTTCAAGAGAAACGGATAAAATATTTAGAGAGACAGTTAATGTGTAAGAAACAGGTGAGTTTCATCAAGAGAATGATCTGTCTGAATGAGAGGTGACACCGTTTTGACAGTTTAACAAACCGTGAGGTGTGCAACATTGTGGGCAACTACGGATTAGGGCCATATATGGTATCGACGAAGAGGACAAGAAACAAGGGTTGCAACAAACGTTGTAAAAGTGAAGTAGGCAGTTGTGATGGAGGGGACATCGGCTATGTTTCTCGAAACGTGGTCACAACATCTCTATTGCGGGTCAGCGAGAAAAGTAAATTCAATCCGTTCAAATAATTCCGTCAAATTCGTGGTCCACTATATGGACCCGTCTGATGTGCAACACTGGTTTAACTGTTTTCGAAGTGTTCGGATGGGATGTGCGTGTGCTTTTCCCCATCCAACGACTGCCGCAAGTGTAAAGACCGTCGACGTTGTGGACAGCACACATGAAATCAAGCAAAGCACTTGAGGTTGTTTCTGGTCCATGAAAGCACTGATCAGGTTAGATAAGTACCACACCAAACGTATGTATACGTACATCTTAGATAAAAGTAGCATGACTACGTAAAAACTATACTTGTGCTCACAACCCAGTCAAAACATATGGAGGTTGCAATAATATATGGAAGGAGTGTACCACAAGACTATTTAACACATCTAGAGTGCTATATTCCCTCATGTCAGTTGAATCACCGTTCGGGAGTGTAGCGCTGGTACAACTACACGGGAGGTTCTTGAGGGGTTTTCACATGGAATGGGAGATGGTGAGAAAGTGCGAGTGGCGACTGCGGGGGGAAGTTATCAGCGTCTATCGGAGAATGGAGCAGCAGTACCTTCGCTGACAGACGATCGCAGTGGCCCCACCCTTGGTCAACGCAAAAATGAACTCGATCCGTTTAAACGACATTGTCAGGTCCGTGGTGCATTACAGCTGGAAACAGTGAAAAAGGACACCAACACTCAAATTTCACGAAAACCCTCATAACTTAAATACAGGGGATGAACGACTCGAAGGAGCTAACTGATTCTGCGCCTTTCAGTGTTAAATATGAGAATGTATTATTACACAATGAAAGTTTGCTCGTGCTACTGAAGACTCTCTGTAGATGCAAAAACCTCCGTATTTCTGGTTACTGCGTCCGTGTTTTCCCCAAAGCCCGTCTACCGACAGACATGGGTAAGATTAATCTACGCTTTTCTATGTTCACAGAGGACTGATAACGCGAAAGACATGTTAGAGTAAACCCATTCTTTCTATCTATTCATCGCAATTCCAAAACTAGTAAAATTAGAACCCGCATCTTCAGAATGCTAGCTGGGTGTGCACCGCATTACCGATCTTTTGCTTATTCGCCGATATGCTGACGAACTGGAGAAACTAAATCTGTTATGGAAAAAGGTTAAGATTGCACAGAAATCGGATAAAAATTGCCACAAAGCTCCTTCTCGGTAGACTCCCGAACGGAATTCGACGACGATAATACAGGGGCCACCGAAAGACAAGATGACGCAGCCTGTTAAAGGGGTCGTCAGGAGCTTTGGAAGGTGAATACAGTTAGAATACAGTTATTCTTGCTGTCCGAACTCCATCAAAAACCAAATCACCAAATCCGTGAACTGACATCCTGGCTGAAAAAACAGTATCTTCAGAAAGGGACTTCTGAGCCAAATTTGTCTATTTTTAACAAAGGGGTCCAACGCGCCCTCGACCTCTTCCGAGAAAAATCGAAGGTTGTCCTTCAGGATGAAGCATTTCACTATGCATTAATTTTCCGTCTAATAAATGCTGATGCACCGAATGGGCAGTCGCCATCAACGTTTCTTGAAATTTTTCTTAAAAACGAGGTTCGGGCTCCTCACCTTCTGTAAGGGAGAACAGCTCTTCCTAGTTTACATAGGGGGGTATTTTTTCGGCCGGATTATGAGCGTCTGAAAGACACGAAATAAGGAGCTCTGAACAGAACTGAACAAAAGGACAGGAGAGGGGGAAATGGCTGAAAATAAAAGAAAGGAAGATCAGACAGATCGAGCTATCGTTCCTGCGGCCGACACCCTTTGTAATCGGGGCTGGCCACACCGAGAGGACGGACGCCGAAGGTGATGTGCTTAAATGCACGGAGCATGTCTAATAAAATTACTGAACTAAGAATTTTAGCCTACGAATAAACACTCCAGATGTCACCTTATCGACACATGCATGGCCTTCTGAAGCTTTTGGAGTACATGAGGTACTCATCTGAGGTTATCAACTGTTTAGAAGGGACGGAAAGACCGGAAATGTGGCGTTGTCTGTGCTAGAACAACATACTCTGACAGCGAAAGATAAATCTTTAACTATTTTCACTAAGCTCGTCTGACCACTGGCACTTGTACTTGAATACTGTCATCCAAACCAAATTGTCGATGACAGTAACCCCCTCCTAACGGAACTGAATAAGACCTGCTTGAACAGGGATGTCCTTATTGTTTGAGCCTATAACGCTCCCAATATCGGCTGGCATGATAGGACTCTGTTGGGTTATCGTGATATATTCTGTCACCACTTGGTCGAAATGTCGGCGGAAAACTATTTTTTGGATGAAACTCTCGGACCAGGTGTTATGGAAGGACAACGTTCAAAGGGTCTTGATCTGGTGTACAGGCGATGGCTACGAAGATGGTCAAGAATCTTCATCATTTGCCTTACGAAACCAGGCTGACCGAACTAAATCTGTTTCCTCTAAATTACAGGCAACTGCGCGGCGATCTCATTCAAACCTACAGGATTGTCAGAAGCCGTGAATGTGCCCTAGATTTTGATGAATTCTTTGAATTGGCCCGGAGTGACCGTCTGCGTGGTCATCCGTTCAAACTGCAAAGGAAGCGGGCTCATTCGGACGTCCGACGGAACGCCTTCTCACACAGGGTCATCGGGGCATGGAATGGACTTCATGATGCCGTCGTTCTTTCCGAAAGTGTCAAATCCTTTAAGTGCAGACTAGACGCTCACTTGTTGAGAACCTACTGTACATACAATAATGATTGTTTTAGCGGCGGCAGTTTGCGCCTAGCTCACAGTTAC